AGCGGATCGAGCCCTGAAGTTGGTTCGTCAAGGAAGACAATTTCTGGGTCTATAGACAATGCTCGTGCTAAAGAAGTCCTTTTAATCATGCCACCAGAAAGCTCTGAAGGAAACTTACAAAAAGCATCGTGGGGCAAACCAACCATTCTCATTTTTGTATAGGCGATCTCGAGGCTTTCTTTTCTGGAAAGGTGTAAAATTTTTTGCAAAGGAATGGCAATGTTTTCACCAACATTGAGAGTGCTGAAAAGGGCCCCGCTTTGAAAGAGAACGCCCCATCGGAATTTAAGTTCATTATGATCAACAGGATCCCGCGGATCGAGACCTAGGCAACGGATGGAACCGGCATAAGGGGAGTATAAGCCAATCATATGATTTAAGAGGACGGTTTTTCCGCTGCCAGATCCTCCGATAATTCCTAGAATCTCCTCCTTTTGAACGGTTAAATTTAAATTTTGATGAAGAATTTTAGTGTTAATTTTTGTTGTTAAATTTTGAATATCTAAGGCTATTTCTGAATGGGAATTTTGAGTCTTTTTCATGAGAGGCATTTTTATATCCCCAACTCTGCAAAAAGTACGGAAAAAGCAGCATTTATAACGATCACCATAAAGATGGCCTCAACAACAGATTTAGTCGTATGGATTCCGACACTTTCCGCGTCTTTTTTAACTTGAAAGCCCTCAAAGCATCCAGCAAACCCGATAATCCAAGCAAAGAAGGGTGCCTTAATAATGCCCACCCAGAATGTCCATGTTGTGATGCCTTGGCGTAGGTGGTGGATAAATTCTTCCAAGGAGAGATCCATTAAGAAGTAAGACATCATGGCTCCTCCGGCAAGGCCGCAAATATCTGAAAAAAGAGCCAAAAAAGGCAGAGAGAAGGTTAATGCAATCATGCGGGGCAAAGCGAGTGCTTCGATCGGATTAATTCCCATTGTCTTGAGGGCGTCTACTTCTCTGTTAAGGGACATTGTTCCAATTTGGGCTGCAAAGGCACTTCCAGAACGACCAGCAAGAACAACCGCGGTGATCAGGACGCTTAACTCTCTTAAGACTGAAATAGCAAGCATATCAACGGCAAAGATTTCAGCATCAAAGCGTCTCAGTTGAAAAACGCTTTGGTAAATAATGACCACGCCAATAAGAAAGGAAATGAGGCCGACAATCGCGAGGGCATTAAACCCAGACCTTTGAACAAACGTGGATAAAGAATTCCAAGGAATTTTTGAGGGAGTCCGTAAAAAACGCCCTAAAGCAATTGTCGTTTCCCCC